ATGCACAAGGCCCTGGGTTCAATCCCCAACACCACCACAAAAAAAAGTATAATTATCATTATGGGGCTGGGGTTATAGCTCAGTGATAGAGCACCTGCCTCACACACCTGAGGCACAGGATTCAATCCTCAGCACCACATAACAAATAAATAAAGATATTGTGTCCATCTTTAAAAAAAAATGCATCTCGAACTTCGTGTCCAAATCATTTTCTTACCCACTCCCCAAACCCTAGGACTCCAAGTCCCCTGCATCTCAGAATGGCAACTCCTTTATCCCAGTCATTCAACCAAAATCCTTGGAGTATTCTTTTTTAAAAACATTTTCTTTAAAAAAATTTTTTTTGTAGTTGTAGATGGAAGTGTGTCTTTATTTTATTTATTTTATGTAGCGCTAAGGATCAAACCCAGTACCTCACAGGTGCCAGGCAAGCGCTCTGCCACTGAGCTACAGCCCCAGCCCCGGAGTACTCTTCAATAATTCTCATACTCCTGCCTCCTTATTTGATGCATCAGCAAATTGTCCACTCTATCTTCAAAAAATCATCCAGAATCTGACTACTCCCAATGCCACCTCCCTGTTCCAAGTTATCCTCAGCTCTCTCCTAGGTTACTCCAACAGCTTCCTGACTGACCTCCCAGCCCCCATCCTCATACACCAAACACAGCAGCCAGTAACCCCAGCTAAACCAGGATCCCTCCACTGCCGGAAACCATCCAGCGCCTCCCACCTCAGAGTGAAAACCATGGTCTGCCTCCGGAATCGCCCCCGCCAGCAACCCCCGACCTCTCCTAGGACTCTGCCATTTGCAATCTTTGCCAGTTATTCTGAAATCTGTTCAGTTACGCCAGACACACTCCCACGCGGGGCATTTTAACTTGTCCTTTCTCCTTAGAATGTTCTTCTGCTGGATACCCATGTGGGTGGCTAGTTCTCCTTCAGGTCTTTGCCTTCAAATGTCATCGGAAAAGATGAGTAATTCCCCGATCATCCATTTAAGATTAAAACAGCAATGCCCACCTTCCCAACTGGCTCTCCATTCTCCTGATATTTTTCTGATAACCACAGATATGTATTTATTCATTTAGTGTCTCCCCTGTGCAGAATATAAAGCCCATGACGTCAGGGACTTTTGTTTGATTTGTTCACTTCTCTATCTCCAATGCCTAAAAAATGCCAGGCACAGAATAGACATTTGGGAAATAATTGCTAAACGAATTGCATCAATGAGTCTATGAACTGTCACCAATCTTAGCATTAATTATAATACAGAATTGATTTTATCCTATTGATTGAAAGGGTCCAAAGCACAGAAGTAACTTACCAAAGACCCTAAAAAAGTCCCAAAGATCTACCACGCCAATAAAAAGACACTGCAATTGCCCCAGAAGTCTGGTTCCCTCTAGAAAAGAGTGACAACAATTTCACTTTCATTCTAACCCAAGCCATTTCTTCCGAGTGGGTCCCTGGTGTTTGTAAGAATGGAAAAGAATATATAAAGCCCCTGCTTTCTAAGGAGTCTGTAGTACTTTAATATCAAATATTTAGGGAATAAACAAAATATATAATTGAGTGCTAAGTTATTATATGGTGATTATTCCACTGAAGGAGAAAGAAGTTTCATCTAATGATTTTGTAGAAAAAGGGGAAATGGTGAAGAAATAGGATGATCTAATTCTAATTTCATTCTGTTGTTTCCGCTTGGTGCTGGGATAGGCGTGGCCCTCCCCCGGGGAATGTTCCTGACACATTCGTTGCCTGAATCTACCCAACACAAGCTGCACATCAAGACCCCAGGAATTGTGTATCACAGCTTAAACGGGAAAGCTATACCTTGGCAAAGCAGGGTAGCATTAGTCATGTCTCCTACAGAGAGCGCCACAAAACAGGCATCGGAGACAGAGACCAGGCCTGAGGGCCACAGGTAAAGGGGGCGTCAGCACCTGGGCTCAGGACTGTTCCACTCCTTAGGGGCTTCTCAAGGATGTCAGAAGTTCCAACCTGGGGCCAAAGGTCTCAGAAGCTCCACCCCTTTGTCACCGAATCCCACTCAAGTCCCAGCAGTTGCCAGGTTACACCAAGAGCTTTCAGGGCTCAGCCCTGGCATCTGCGGTTCTCAGCCTGGTAGACCGCTTTCCTCTCCCACCCGTCACTGGAAACTCACTCCCTTAAATAAGGCTGTGCCTGGGGGGCTGCTCTATAGGGAATCTCTCCTCACCTGCCGTTCTGACACAGTGTTCCTGCTCTGTGCTCCCCTTGCCAACCCTGGCCACGGCTCTGCGTACCCCCGGTTGCCTGGTACATCCACCACTACTCTAAGGCGTAACAAATATTGCCTTTAGGCTGTGCCCCAACTGGTGATGGCTGATAAATGGCTGAAAAAGCACAGCTGGGTATCAGAACACCATCTACAGAGAAGCACTGCATTGTTTGGAACTGCTTGAATTTTTCAGGTGCACAAAGTAAAAATACATAAGTAAGATGATTATCTTCCTGGGAATGAGTTCCTCATAGAATTTGTCAATCCTAAAATTCTTTACAACCCTGACCTGGGTACAGGAACAAAACTGTTATCAACAGCTTCCATTTGTAAAACCAAGCTTGTTCTCTTCCTCTTCACATCTTACCAATTCAAAGACTCATAAGGGCGCTCCCAGCCGCCCATCATACTGACTTAGTACCTTCTCCAATTTCACCTCTCCCCACAAAGCCTAGTCCAGATCACCTCTGGAAGCTCAGCTCATCTGGCTACATTCTTCGGGAACCCCCAGAAGTTGGTTGTAGTTTTCAGAACTGGATTTCTACGTTGCTGAATTAGAAGCCATTTTTCCCAAACTCAATTCTAGATGTCTGCTTAACTGGATCTAGGAATTAAGCACCTCCTAGCTGAGAAAGTTTGATAAGAAACACTTTTCTAATCATTCTTAACTATTCAGAAGTTCTCTGAAGTTCAGAGATGTGGCTCAGGGGTAGAGCTTGCCTGGCATGCATGAGGCCCTGGGTTCCATCCCCAGCCACTGCAGGGATAAAAAACTCAAATTCTCTGAAACTCATCTCTCCATTAGATTTTTTTAATAATAATCTTGTAAAGAAACAGAATATTATTGGAAAAGGTATTAACTCCTAAGATTCAACCGTGAAGTCTTTCCTGGTCTCACTTCCTTTTATAAGATCTCATGTCAATAGTTTATTCTTCTCAAAGTCTCTCCCTCAAGATTCTTGCAACACTTAATAAAGATGATAATCATCCACCTTAAGAAACAGGGAAGTGGGTGGCAAGTATTATTAACACGTTAGATCCACAGGTTCTAAATATAAACGGTGTCTAGTTGAAGGAAACGTTAAGACCTGTCATAATATGGAAGATAACTCCTCATTTATAATGAAATTGATGATGTTTCAGGAATGTGTTTGAACTAACTTTTGAATTGGGTTTTCATTTTATAGGACTGCTATTAAGAGTCAACCTAGGGGAGAACAAAAGGATGGGGAAATGTCAGAATCCAACATGAAAAAAATTCCAATGGTCCAAACTGGAAGCCTTTAAGCAGCAAGGTAGTGACAGTATTGGATTACAGCCATACAATATAGTAAGTTATTGAATAAATAAGTAAATGTGTGAGGGGGACAACTGTTTCCTAGGGAAGAACTCTAAATAATATCTGTAGAAAGAATGGGGTGGTGGAATGAGATGGCCATCATCACTCTAGGTACGTGTATGATTGCACGAACGGTGTGTCTCTACACCGTGTACAACCAGAGGATTGAAATGCTACAATCCATTTGTGTATGATGAATTGCAATGCATTCTGCTGTCATGTACAACTAGGTAGAACAAATTAAAAAGTTTTTTAAAAAAGGAATGGGGGAAAGTTCTCATTTGTACCACAGAAAGAGCTGCTGCAGGCAGGATCCAGGCTGGATTCAAACACAAGTGGGCAAAACACTAAGGAGAAAGAGGACGTTCACAGAGACCCAAAGATCTTTCCCCAAATACTTACTAACTACCATGGTGCTTTCAACAAATGCACCAAAATTCCTGAATACTGTTTCCTCCTGGAAAGCTTGATGCCCCTGTCCTAAGTCTAAACTCAGTGACTCACTTATAAGGAACGGGACAGAAAAGCAAAACTAGAAACATTTTAGTGGAGAGAGCCAACAGACACCACCTACACGACCAAGGTCAACATCGCCAGTAGTAATCACGTGGGGATCACAGGCTTTAGGATATGGTGGGATGAGGGGGCATTTCATTTCTGCAGGCCTCTTCCCCAAAATCCGTAATGCCAGCCCAGTCGTAAGAAAACAGACCCATTCAAACTGAGGGGCCAACTACACAACCTCTAACCAGCAGGCTTCACAGGTTTCAAGGTCTGGGAAACAAGAGAGGCGAATGAGAAAACATCAGGAAGAGGGAAAAGGAGGCAGATGACAACTGGAACAGAATACCATATCAGTGGGAAAACAATGGGATCTGAGTAAAGGTTATAGTTCATAGTGTAGTCTGTGTTTAATTTCTTAGTTTTGACAAAAAGTATAGTTATGTGAGATTAATCTTCGGAGAAGCTGGGCTAAGGACATATAGGAAAGTCTCTGTACAATCCTTAAAATCTTCTGTAAATCTAAAATTATTTCAAAATTAACAGTTTTCAAAAATTCAATCTATGGGTTATCCTAATCAGATAAATTGCTTATAGTCCATCTATACATCATTGTGGACTTGCAGGTACAGTACAGGAGTATGTGTATCATGATTTCTTAGTAATTTTACCTTTTTTAAAATCATTTTGATGTCCCTGTGGTTATCATTTAGAGCAAATATACAAGACAATGACTTTCTAGTTATAAAAAAACTTGGTATTTTTCATAGTATTCTATAAACTTATTAAATTATCATTATCATCTTTTCATATCAATATATTCTATCTATACATTAAAATGCCATCAAAGAATGATTTCTTTGAAAATGTTCTTTTAAAAACAATTAAGAAATACAGGAAAGAGGGATAAAATGTTTAATTGTTGAAATACACTAGTTGAGTACTTTATATTGCAATAATAAGTACAAACGTCATTAGTAAATTAAGAATTTTCTAGATATCCAGGCATCGTCGATCTTACGTCCTTGAAAATCATATAGAACAACTATGACGAGATGCCATGATCACACAGAGGTGGAACGAGAGACTCGGTGGCCATGATGTATGTGTGGTCCCACGAGCCTCTAACCAAAGAAACAGGAATTCAATCAACCCGTGTTTTTGGCATGCAAATTTAACGAGTTTATTTTTAAATACTGCAATGCTATACAATGTTTCAAATAAAGAAAATTCTCTAACATCTAAATCAAATTAGAAAACCAAATAGTAAAAAAGGGAAAGAGATAGTAGTAAGAATCCATTTACCAATTTTACAGCTAAAAATTAATGTGAAGTAGAAATAGTGAAAGATAAGAGGCCAAATATTTTACTTTAGGTAATGCATTTATAATGCCTTATTATCTAAAGTTATAAATAGAATAAGGATTTTGTTATATAAAAATTATCCAAAAAGTATCAGAGAAAAGACATGACATCCACAAGCCATGCTGAGTGGCCAGTGACAGTGCTGGAGCACAACAGTCCAGGCTGGACAACGGCCTCCGGACAGTCTGCCCTTGTCTTCCTGGGCGAGCCACAGAGTCCATAAAAAGCACACTGCCTAAACGGATCCCTCTGCTGACACTGCAAACTGCGCCCATGCTTTCTTTCACTTAGGATTGGGGAGGGGGTGACTTTAGAATTTCCTTGGGAATGTCTGTGCACGTTGAAATGTCCCTGGGGCCTAACTCCTTCCAAGTTGATGAGCAAGCTGTGAAGAGAACAAACAGAAAAGAATCAGCAAACTTGAAAAGGTGTATCAGATAACAATGCACAGCCATAGTCTCCCAATTATGTATTGCTTTTTTTAAGTTGAGTACATACTCAACGTCCACCCAATATTTGTTGTTCTCATTGGAGTACCATTAGTGCATGGCATAATGGTATATAAAGAGACCAAATCAGGTAGCAAAAGAGACTTATAAACTTACAATTAAAATGCAGCATGATAAAAAATACCCAAACCTAGCCACATGCATGTATAGACTGTTCAGTCACAAATCTCCCTTCCCTCCACGGTCAGAAACTCCAGGGAGGGCTATTCCAGCTGTCCACAATAGGCTGAGCTCCCTGGGGATTCTGAGGAAGCCAGCCCATGCACTGGCATCTGACAACCATGACTTCAGTACCCTGCATGTCTCTGTGCACACGATTTTTACCCTAGAGTAAAGAGAAACTTTTACAAAGAAACTACACATTGCATTGTGGGCCAAGTAACTTTCAGAAATTCTGAAGTTATAGCTGAATTTCCTTAAGAAAGTAATCAAATCAAATGTGAACTTGGGTCAGTGAGTAAGCTCAGTTCTGAGAGATTCTACATGTTGGTCAAAAAAAAGAACAGCTAATACTTTTTCCATAAGTCTTCTTCTCCAAAAGACAGACAGACTTCTCATCAGGATGTCCATCCAACAGCTAAGTCCAGAAAGCCACAAGTTAGACACATCCCAGACCAGCACCACAACAGCCACGCAGCCACTGAGGAAAAATGGTCAGCTATTCAACTTAGAAAATCTTTCAGGCCATTCCAAGAGGCAAAAGAGAGACCAGAATCAAAGTGATCATTTAGGTCTCTTCTCTGGGCGTGGCCTCAGTTATCTCGGACACGAATTCTCTCCCTACCTCCGTGGTCGCTGCCACTGAACTGTCAGTCTCTTGTCAATCAACCACCACCTCTACCACCATTGCTGCTGCCACTGATTCTGCTGCTGCCCCCCTGACATCACCGGGAGGTCTTCTTTCTAGGTGCTGCTGCCACAGAAGAAACCGCTGCCCTGGGTGCAATTGAAGCCGACACTGCTGCTGACCCCAGAGATCTGCCCCCACAGCTACAGGTGCAGCTGCCCCTGCAGCCACCGCTACTGCTGACTTGCTGCCTGCTGCCAAAAACCACTGCCCCTACCAGTGCTACCACGGCCTATGGGACTGCTTCAGGGGAGACTCCAGGTTTGATTGCACATGGCTGCACCCATTTTGGGACACCAGCTGGGCCTGGGGCCTGGGTGCCAGTAAGTTTACCACCACAAGAGCCTCTGTCAGGGGACTCCAGATAGGACCTGCAGGTCCAGCGTGGGGGTGCCTGCAGGTTTGGAGGAGACTGGGGTCTTCCTGCTGAGAGTGCTGGTGGCCCTTGTCTTGTTGCTGCATCTCGGGGTTGCTCTTCTGCAGGAGTGTATCCCTGGTGGTCTCTCTGCAAGAAGGAGCAGCACTGAGATCTTGAGACTGCAGCGTGGCTGAGTCTGAGGTATCTGAAGCCCAGATCAGTGGGATAGAGACTGGGTTTGCGAGGGTTGATCTGGGCTTGGTGATCCCAAGAGATGTCAGAGACAGGGCTGAGAATCTGTTGAACACTGACAGATAGTTTGGTTTTCTAGCAATATTTATTTTATTTTTTTAATATTTATTTTTTTCAGTTTTCGGTGGACACAACATCTTTATTTTATTTGTATGAGGTGCTGAGGATCGAACCCAGCACCCCGCGCATGCCAGGCGAGCGCGCTACCGCTTGAGCCACATCCCCAGCCCTATTTTATTTTTTGATTCACTAATCTCTCTATCATACTTGGAACAGGATGTTTTTTATGCATCAGTGTGTGGAGGACAATGAGATATGAATGGAGGTTTATAGTTCTGTTGTATTCTTATGTCTTTAATTTTTTCTCTTTGTTTGTATGCTTCCTCTCTCTTGCCTATTTTCTTGGATTTTCTTTCCAACTTTTCTCCAACAAACAGCCAATCTGTCGGCTCCTCTTCCACTCTTCTTGTGAATTTTTACTTCTAGCTTCTCTCTTCCTCCCTCGGGAATATTGTACACTACACTTCCTCTGTTCTCTCATCCACCACTTGAAACTGTAAATCATTTTAACAAATTTTCTGTTTGTACTATAGATAGTTATTGAATTCATCATTTTGGTTTAATGTGAAAAAGCAGTAGATGCCTTAGCTATTAGGTTTAAGGCTATATATTGTGTTCACTGGGTGCTGTTGATATTGGTCTCACCAGTAAAGGTGAAATGCTGGAAACCTTCAGGGACACTATAGATAGGTCTACAGGGTAGAATTTATCCTGCCTTATATCCATACTTTTAGATGGGAAAACACACTAACAGCATAAAAAAACAAGGATATATAGAACCCCAAACAAACCAAGATGCTTCAACAACAGAAGCCACTGATAACTTAGTAGAGGAAATGTCCAAGAAGGAGTTCAGATTTGATACAGTTAAATTAATATATGAATTAAAAAATAGTATAAGGAGTGAAATCAAGAAAAATTATAGGAAGTGAAAGATCACTTCAATAAAGAGTTAGAGATTGTGAAAAACAAACAAGCAGAAATCCTTAAAATGAAGGAATCAGTAAACCAAATTATAAATTCAATAGAAAGCATCCCCAACAGACTAGACCACTTGGAAGACAGAACCTCAGATAATGAAGACAAAGTATAGAATCTTGAAAGCAGAGTTGAGCATGTAGGGAAGATGGTAAGAAACCATAAACAGAACATCCAAGAATTATGGGATAACATGAAAAGACCAAATTTAAGTGTTATCAGAATAGATGAAGGAGCAGAGACACAAACCAAAGGAATACACAATCTTTTCGATGATAAAATAGCAGAAAATTTGCCAAACCTAAAGAATGGAATGGAAAATCAAATACAAGAGGCTTACAAGACCTGAAATCTACAAAATTACTGCAGACCCACACCAAGACACATTATAATGAGAATGACTAACACAGAGAATGAAGATAAAATCTTAAAGGCTAGGAGAGAAAAAAATCAAATTACGTATGGGGGAAACCAATTTGGATCTCGACTGATTTCTCAGCCCAGACCCTCAAAGCTAGGAGGTCCTGGAATAATATACTTCAAGCTCTGAAAGAAAACTGATGCCAACCAAGAATTTTATATCCAGCACAATTAAGTTTCAGATTTAAAGATGAAATGAAAACTTTCCATGATAAACAAAAATTAAAAGAATTCACAACTAGAAAGTCTACACTACAGAGCATTCTCAACAAAATATTCCATGAGGATGAAGTTAAAAAAAAAAAAAAAATGGAAACCAGCAAAGGGAGGATCTACACTAAAGGGACATTTAACCAAATGAGAAACTAAGTCAAATCAAAAACCAGAAATAAATCAAAATGACAGGGAATACAAATCATATCTCAATAATAACCTTGAATGTTAACAGCCTAAACTCATCAATCAAAAGATATAGACTGGCAGATTGGATTAAAAAGCAAGACGCAACAATATTCTGTCTTCAAAAGACTCACCTCATGGGCAAAGACATCCACAGGCTGAAGTTGAAAGGATGGGAAAAAAACTTATCACTCATACGGATTGCATAAACAAGCAGGGGTTTCCATAAAATAGACTTCAAACCAAAGTTAATCAGAAGAGATAAAGAAGGATATTTCATACTTCTTAAGGGAAATATAGATAAACAGGACATAACAATTATAAAATATTTATGCCCCAAATAATAGAGCATCTATGTACATAAAAAAAAAACCCTTCTCAATTTCAAAAGTCAAATAGACCACAATACAATAATATGGGGTGACTTTAACACCTCTTTCACTACTGGACAGATCTTCCAAACAAAAACTAAATAAGGAAACTATAGAACTAAATAATACAATCAATAATTTAGACTTAACAGACATATATAGAATATCTCATCAATGAGCAAATACACTTTCTTCTCAGCAGCACATGGATCCTTCTCTAAAATAGACCATACGTTGTGCCACAAAGCAACTCCTAGTAAATACAAAAAAAAAACAGAGATAATACCAAGCATTCTCTCAGACCACAATAAAATGAAATTAGAAATCAATGATAAAATAAAAAGTAGAAGCTACTATAACAAATGGAAACTAAATAATATACAACCGAATGATGAATGGATAGTAGAAAAAAATCAAGGATGAAATAAAAAAATTCTTTGATATAATATATCAAAATCTCTGGGACACTGTGAAGGCAGTACTATGAGGAAAGTTTATTGCATTGAGTACATTTATTAGAAGAATAAAAAGTCAACAAATAAATGAGCTAACACTATATCTCAAAGCCACAGAAAAAGAAGAACAAATCAACAGCAAAATCAGTAGAAGATAGGAAATAATTAAAATCAGAGCTGAAATCAAATCAAAAGAAACAATTAAAAAAATTACAAAACAAAAAGTTGGTTCTTTGAAAAAACAAATAAAATAGATAAACGCCTGGCCATGCTAACGAAGAGAAAACTCAAATTACTAAAATACAAGATGAAGAAGGAAATATCACAATGGACATGTCTGAAATACAGAAGATAATTAGAAACTATTTTGAAAATTTACACTCTAATAAAATAGAAAATATCAAAGACATCAACAAATTTCTAGAGACAAATTTCTATGACCTACCCAATGAGGAGGTCATACGTGATTTAAACAGATCAGTTTCAAGTAATGAAATAGAAAATGTCATCAAAAGCCTAACAACAAAGAAAAGCCCAGGCCCAGATGGATTCTCAGATGAGTTCTACAAGACTTTCAAAGAAGAATTAACACCAATAATCCTCAAAGTATTCCATGAAATAGAAAAGGAAGGAACCCTTATAAACTCATTCTTTGAGGCTAATATCACACTGATACCAAAACCAGACAAAGACCCATTAAGGAAAGAAAATTTTAAACCAATATCCCTGATGAACAGAGATCAAAAATTCCCAATAAAATTCTGGCAAATCACATACAAAAACATATTTAACATTTACAAAAACATGATAAAGCGGGGTTCATCCCAGGGATGCAGAGTTGGTTCAGTATACAGAAATCAATAAACATAATTCATCATATTGATAGACTTAAAAACAAGAATCTATGATCATCTCAACAGATGCAGAAAAAGCATTTGACAAAATACAGCACACCTTCATGTTCAAAACACTAGAAAAACCAGGGATAGTAGGAACATACCTCATCATTGTAAAAGCTATATATGATAAACCCAAGGCCAACATCATTCTGAATGGAGGAAAATTGAAAGGATTCCCACTAAAAACTGAAACAAGACAAGGATGTCCTCTTTCACCACTTCTATTCATCATCATCCTTGAAACTCTAGCCAGAGCAATTAGACAAAAGAAAGAAATTAAAGAGATGCAAATAGGTAAAGAAGAACTCAAACTATCACTATTTGTTGATGAAAGATTCTATATCTAGAAGATCCAAAAAATTCCACCAGAAAACTCCTAGAACTAATAAATGAATTCAGCAAAGTAGCAGGATATAAAATCAACACCCATAAATCAAACATATTCCTATACATCAGTGATGAATCCACTAAAAGAGAAATTAGGAAAACTACTCCATTCACAATAGCCTCAAAAAAAATAAAATAAAATACTTGGGAATCAATCTAACAAATGAGATGAAATACTTCTACAGTGAAAACTACAGAACACTAAAGAAAAAAGTTGAAGAAAACCTCAGAAGTTGGAAAGATCTCCCATGCTCCTGGGTAGGCAGAATTATTATCGTCAAAATGGCTATACTACCAAAAGCATTATACAGATTTAATGCAATTCCTGTTAAAATCCCAATGACATTCTTCATAGAAATAGAAAAAGCAGTCATGAAATTTATTTGGAAAAATAAGAGACCCAGAAGAGCTAAAGCAATCCTTAGCAAGAAGAGTGAACCGGGAGGCATCACAATACCAGACCTTAAACTATACTACAGAGCAATACTAACAAAAATGGCATGGTATTGGCACCAATAGACATGTAGACCAATGATATAGAATAGAGGATAGAGACAAACCCACATAAATATGGTTATCTCATTCTAGACAAGGGTGCCAAAAATATTCACTGGAGAAAAGATAGCATATTCAACAAATGGTGATGGCAAAACTGGAAATCCATATGTAGCAAAATGAAATTAAACCTCTGTCTCTCACCCTGCACAAATCAACTCAAAACGGATCAAAAACTTAGGCACTAGAACTGAGACCCTGCACCTAATAGAAGAAAAAATAGGCCTAAATCTTCACCACGTCGGCCTAGGATCTGATTTCCTTAACAAGACCCCTGAAGCACAAGAAGTAAAATCAAGAATCAATAAATAAGATGGATTCAAATTAAAAAGCTTCTTCTCAGCAAAGGAAACAATCAATAATGTGAGGAGAGAGCCTACAGATTGGGAGGAAATCTTTACCACATGCACCTCCCATAAAGCATTAATCTCCAGGATATATAAAGTACTCAAAAACCTGAACACAAAAAAACCCCAAATAACTCAATCAATAAATAGGCTAAGGAACTGAACAGACACTTCACAGAAGAAAAAATACAATCGATCAACAAATACATGAAAAAATGTTCAACATCTCTAGCAATTAGAGAAATGCAAATCAAAACTACCCTAAGATTTCATCTCACTCCTGTCAGAATGGCAATCATCAAGAATACAGGCAACAATAAATGTTGGCGAGGATGTGGGAGAAAAGGTTCACTCATACATTGGTGGTGGGACTGCATATTGGTTTAACAACTATGGAAAGAAATATGGAGAGTCCTCAGAAAACTGGCAATGGAATCCAGCTATCCCACTCCTTGGTTTATACCCACAGGACTTAAAGTCAGCATACTACAGTAATGCAGCCACGCCCATGTTTATAGCAGCTCAATTCACAATAGCTAGACTATGGAACCAACCTAGGTGTCCCTCAAGAGATGAATGGATAAAGAATATGTGGCATATAAACTCAACGGAATATTACTCAGCTTTAAAGAAGAGTGAAATTGTGGCATTTGCCAGTAAATGGCTGGAGTTGGAGAATATCATGCTAAATGAAATAAGCCAATCCCACAAAACCAAAGGCCAAATGTTTTCTCTAATATGCAGATGCTAATTCACAATAAGGCGGGATGGCAATAAAATGACATAATTTGTAACCATGAATAGTAAAGAAATATTTAAGCTAGCTACCTGAAGCTGAGTTCTCCTGAAGAAATTTTAGATCCACACACTAAAGTCAACTTGCCCAACTCTGCAGTGAGAAAGTAAGCCCAAGGTGCTCACATGAGGCCTTAGCTGCAGCAGAGCTGCCAGGCTCCCGACCCCTGTCTCCAGGGCACCTCCTCCCACTCCACGCCTACACTCTGTGAAATACACCCATTTCTGGGAGGGGAATGGGTGATATAAAGTTGCTTTCAACTACATCACCTTTTGTGCATGATACAAACACAGTTCAAATTCTTGTGCAGGGAACTCAGAAATCTAGAATTAGAACTAAATCCTAGAAACAAAAAATCTTCAGCAAATTCCCAGAGAAATCCAACACTCTGGGGCACAGGTGGTAGGGATCAAACCCCCACAAGGCTGCTGCCTTGATGAGAAAGTCCTGGAAGACCTGGCTACGCAAAGCTTGTCACGGTTCCTGCAGGGAAGAAACTCCCCACGGTTCCTGTGGCCCCCTCCTCCAGCATGTTAACCTCCACTGTGATCGTCACAATCCCACCCCACCCCAAATACTGACTCCTGTACCTCTCTGAGCAAGAACCTGGATCAATATCAAAAAGTCATGCTCCTGGTTTTCCAATGCTGGGTTCTCGTTACATAAAAACAATAATAGGTTGATCGACGATGGCAGTGGCAATGATGACACCAGAAGCAACCACTTATTTCACCTTTAGCCCTAATAACAACCCTTAAATCTAAGCATTAAATCTATTTTACAGATTACAAAACAGAGGCCACAAAGGGGAAATTAATGCCCGACCAATAAGTGAAAAAGCCTGAATTCAAATCCAAGGCTACCTGACTCCCAAAGGAGAAAAAGCTGTCTCAGGAGACAGGCTATTCCTGCCAAGAGGCTGGGCATCATCAGGCAGGACTGAACAGAGTGGGGATCAGACAACTGAGTGCACGGCTGGACAGAGCAGAGGCAAGTCTCCTGCCTACTCTATCTCTGCCCAGTGGTGACCACCCATCTCTACTGGAGATCTGCTGTGGACACACCACCTCTCTGTGCATTACCTGAACCCTGGCTATCCTTTCCTCAACTAACCATTCTGAGCCTCTCTGATTTCTAATGATCTGTCATTTCTCAAATATTAGGCCCTCAAGACCTCAGTGTTTTACATGGACACACAGGTCATTCTTATTAAATACACAGCAATAAGATCCACAGTTTATTCAACAAGTCTAAACATATATAAAGAAACATACAGTACCTCTTGATTATTGAGTCGGGATGTTATTTTCCTCTAATCTTAAAGAGAAAAATCAAGAAAATTAAGTGTTCAGATATAAAGAACAAATTCTAATTTTCTACAAAACTACAGGCAGTGATAACATACACTTTTTTCCCAGTCTAAATCTTAGAGAAATAGCAATGAGAAACAAATTACAATAGTATGTTAAAAATAATAGAAAACAGCTTTGTGTGCAAAGTAAATATATCAATAGTCACTTAAAACTATGTATCATATGACAATTCATCACCCTTGTTGGTAAATCAATGTTCTTGACCATTAGCCTCATTTTGAGTTTCCTAGCAAGACACCATCCACGTGGTTGCAGTCATGTCTGTTATTCAGAAAAACTTCCTTAGCTCCAAAATTAGTAACTATAAAACTCAGAAAAGGGAACCTCATTTCATTTAATTATACAATAGGCAGTTACTTTTCCTTAAATCACCAGACTGCTTATTAGTTAGTCATCTTTATAGAAATGTACCTTTGTATTCCACAAAAACTCCATAAACCTATTTAAATGTCAGGATTAATTATCATACTGATTATTACTTAAATTAATAAGGAATTAAGACTACATAGAGCTTAACCACAAATAAAAGCAAAATTTGCTCTGAAATTACTTTTAACATCTGGGTGACAATTTCAAGAAATGATTACAGCGATCAAATAATACTTACAGCGATCAAAAGGATGGCTCACTGAAACTACGTAACATGTAGACTGAGTCAAGCAAGCAGAAATGCAAATTTCATATTTTTCATAACATAAAAATATTTTGAGAAAGTAAACACAATGCAATCTTACTTTTTCGTACAGTCTTGGTTTGATTGGACACCATACTGACAGCTTCAGATGGAAGGCCAACATATACTCCTCCATAGTTTCTTTAAGAAAAGAATTCAGAACAATTTAAATGGTACTATATAGAGAGGAACCAAGAAAAGTACAAAGTACTTCAATTATCTAATTATTAAAATAACTCATGGTTTTTCAAAAGAAGAATTCAGAGTATTATTGACCATGGAAATATAACTTCTTTCCATGTAAAAAAGAAGCCAAGGTTCTGAACAGACACTTCTCAGAGGAGGACATACAATCAATCAACAAATACACGAAAAAATGCTCACCATCTCTAGCAATCAGAGAAATGCAAATTAAAACACCATCTCACTCCAGTAAGATTGGCAGCCATTATGAAGTCAAACAATAACAAGTGCTGGCGAGGATGTGGGGAAAAGGATACACTTGTACATTGCTGGTGGGACTGCAAATTGGTTCAGCCAATTTGGAAAGCAGTATGGAGATTCCTTGGAAAGCTGGGAATGGAACCACCATTTGACCCAGCTATTCCCCTTCTCGGTATACCCAAAAGACCTAAAAAGAGCGTTCAACAGGGACACGGGGACACAGCTACATCAATGTTCATAGCAGCACAATTCACAATAGCTAGACTGTGGAACCAACCCAGATGCCCTTCAATAGATGAATGGATAAAAAAAAAATGTGGCATTTATACACAATGGAATATTACTCAGCACTAAAAAAAACAACAAAATCATGGCATTTGCAGGGAAATGGATGGCATTAGAGCAGATTATGCTAAGTGAAGCTAGCCAATCCCTAAAAAACAAATGCAAAACGTCTTCTTTGATATAAGGCGGGGGGGGGGGGGGGACTCAAAACAGAGCAGGGAGGAAGAGCATGAGAAGAAGATTACCATTAAATAGGGTGCGTGGGAATGGGAGAGAGAAAGGGAATTGCACAGAAGATGGTAGGAGACCCTCATTGTTATGCAAAATTACATATAAGATGGTGTGAGGGGGAAGAAAAAAGAGAGAGAGAGAAACGTGTCACAGTAGATTGGGTAGAAAGAGGGGAGGGGAGGGGAGGGAGGGATAGGAAGGACAGCACAATACAATAGACACTAGTATGGCCCTATGTATAAACGTGGCTGTATAACCAATGTGATCCTGCAATCTGTACACGTGGAAAAATAAGATTAAGATTACGTACCCCATTTGAATCAAATGTATGATATGTCAAGATCATTGTAATGTTTTGAGCAACTAATAAAAAAGTTTTTAAAAAAGAAGCTATATAAGAAAACTTTTGAATTAATGGAATTTTTAGATTTTTATTTGCAATGAGAAAGAAGAAGCTGGGATGTTATAAGTTAGTATGGTAATAAATATCAGTGGAGTAACATGTTACAGGTAATCAGTCAACAGTGATCAAGAATTCAGAGTGGTCACCATGGGATCGGCTGTTAGTGCAACAAAAACATTTTCTGCATGAGGAGATAAGCTATGAAATGAGAGGAGGGAAAGGTAAGGAGCAATGAGAGCAGGGTGCAGCCAACTGGAGGTGGAGGAGGAGAGAATGGGGAAGGCTGGGAAATGAGAGGAAGTCACCCCCGAGGAAGAACAGCCAAAGGCCACAGGCTGGCAATGGGCAGAGGCTGCGCACAAGACAAAACCCCAGTCTGCTGGAAAGAAGCACAGATTCTGAATCCTGGGCAAGTTCCTTTCCAGATCCCATGCTCTTACCTGTGTTCTGTGTGCCAAAGCTTCCCATGGACTCTGTGTTATTGGTAATGTGCTACAGAGTGTTCAATCCATGAGGTGTGGTCAGAATGATTAAATTAAAGCCAGGTGCAACACCAAACATACCTCCTCTTGTCATCTTCTGTTATCGATTCTTCTGCTCTAAAAGGTTAAAAACATGAGCAATGAGTCCGAGTCACTTGGTTACATGGCCAGAGACTTAATTTTTGGTTATGAGCGAAAAGGGATCAAGTTAGAGCCTGTGTTTTTTATTTCAAGCACTGCCATCAAGTATCTCTATAGCACAGTGTTTGGGCTCCATCTCAGTCACTCATGCACTAAAAACTTGTTAAGTTTCCACTTACTAAAATGTGCAACTCAGCAAATGGCAAAAAGCCCAACCACCAAACCAAATGGAAAACTGAAGGAAGCTGAGACTGGAGAGGGCACATGGCTCATCATGAGGAGGCCTGAATTCTCTTTGGCTGTGCCCCTGGTTCCCATGGTGACCAAGAGGCTATGGGCCAGCAGCCCATGCCTTCTCTGTAAAGCAATGGGGTCGACCAGATGACCCCAAAGTCCCTCCCAGCCCTCACACCATGATTTTGGGTCTCTCATGCCAATTCAATGGCACAACTATGAGCAGTGAATGATTTCTTCAGTCCCAAAAGAATCAACACTAATTTAATTTTCTTTTGTCTAAAAACACAAGCCATTTAATACACACTACTACAAAGAGAGAGCAAATGTTTCAGAGGAAGGTCCTGGAGGACACCACTACTTGAGACCACACAGCTTTGTTCCCTGCATAGAGGAATCCACATTCCCCCAGAAGTCCTTGGTGTTTTCTAAGAGGACTGGGAAGCCTGCCTTAAAGCCCCAGTCCACACACCTAAGTTACTTTTAGGAAAGAAAAAACCATCACCCCAACAAAACTCCAATGTTCAACACATGCAGTTCTCAAGAAGCAATCAGGCTGAACGCATCCAAACACCTGCATCGGACCTCTTGATTCCAGAGATGGTCTCAAAGTTGTGAACACCACAGAGGCACCTGTGTTTCCCTGCAAGTAGGCGTGGCAGTGCCTGGGGAACACTGGCCAGGAACCCAGCAGTGACTCCAATCCAGGGCAAATCCACCTTGAGATCTCATTTACTCCAACTAGGCACAGAACTCAATTATGCCAGACAATTATCAGCTTAATTTGCCTCTTGCTAAAGTTAAGTTGTTCTTTAATTCAGAAGTCTTATTGTATGAGAAGTGGTGTGATGTTTATTGAAGAAGTGGTGTGATGTTTATTGATGTGGTTTAACAGTGTTGTTCACTACTTTTAATTAAACTGGGTTTATAAACAGATAATGGGACAATGATGGTGACAAATTCACTTACTTTGGTCCTCAGTGACTAACAGCATCATAAAATCATTTGTGAAGCTATATAACTGAAGATCTGGACACATACAATGTCTCACATATCCATTTACAGCTACTCTTTTTTTTTTTTAAGAGAGGGAGAGAGAGAGAATTTTTCAATATTTTTTTTTTTTTTTTAGTTTTCGGCGGATACAACATCTTTGTATGTGGTGCTGAGGATGGAACCCAGGCCGCACGCATGCCAGGCGAGCACGCCACGGCTTGAGCCACATCCCCAGCCCTACAGCTACTCTTCACATTCAGTTACATCTATTTATTCTAATTCTTTTCCAGTTTGCCTCATTCTGCTTAAAATATATTTTAACTTTGCCCAAATATAAGAAAATAGTAAATTATTTTAAATCTATTATTCAATAGCCTAAAACCCAATCTGCAGTCCCTAGTATAAAATTAATCAACAATCTTACACATATAACTGGTGCACAAGACAAAACTGTTGATACTGTAGCTGTTGTATCTACTGAATAATAAACTAAGCTTTAGATACAACATAAAATCTCCAAAAATATCAATTATAATTATAAGACATCCATTCTTTTAAACCTTCAAAAAATTGATATGGTGGCCTGTGTACATACACCCATGTAGATAGGGCTGCCACTTCACCATTCCTTCTACAAACAATTATGCTTAACTCAATTATGCTTAAGATTAGAGAACTGGACTTTTAAAACGGTGTCATTGAAGAGTCCCTCCTGAGTGTCAGGCACAGCACAGGGACTTCACAGGCTTCAATGCTATCCCTAATGACAGCTCTGAGAGCTCAGACCAGAGGAACCAGGTGCAGAGATCCACGGAATTAGTAAAGATCTAGACCAAAAAGCAAAACCAACATTCAAATTCACATTCTAATTCACACTCTGCCTCTATGGGACAAAGATGCAAAAGTCAAAACCAACTCCAGTGACAGCCTGGCAGCTTCTCCTCATGTGCAGCTGACTCTACATCACTCTGTGAAAGCTTTGAGTACCACCCCTACCCATGACCTGCTTGTGTGGTTATGCCAGGCACTTGGCTAATGCTATCATGATATTTCCTTTAATCCTAACCACAATCCTGCAAGACAGGTATTAGCCTCATCTTCAAAATGAGAAACTGAAGCTCTGACAGGCAGGCGGTGGGATCAAGGCTATAAAACTAATGGAGCCAGAATTCAAACCCAAGTTAGCAAGACTCCAACGCTTGCTCTCCCCAGCTTCCTGAGCCCAGGCGAGTTTGTATTAGAGAACACACACATGCCCCAGCTGGATCTCCCCAGTTTATATCCTCTAATTTAAGGAAAGGGGGGACCAAGAAGGTGGGAGAGTCTGAGTCCACGTTTCACTAGCATTAGAAGAAACCTCGAACAGCCACCAGAAACCAGCACCCTTTGCAGATCTTTTCAAATTGCTACGTAACTCCTTTTGATCCAGGTTCAAGGGCTGTTCTGATCAGAAGATGCCTTAGGTCTATTCACCTGGACACTCAGGTCCAGACTGAGGTTAAATCAAAAAAAAAAAAAAAAAAAAAAACTGATTGATCTAAACAAAATCTCCTTATGGGAGAATAAATCCCAGCCACTGTTTAGCTGCCTGTAGAGAACCAAATGCTGCCTGCCCTGCCCGAGCCCAAGACAGCAGTGTCCCACCAGCTAGGGTGACAGGGATCGGCCCCAATAGCACAGACCAAAGCATAAGGAAGAAGAAATGGTCTGGCAAGCAGCAGTAGATTCCTGGTAAAAGGAAGGCCCAGAGATGTTAAGCCAAAGTCCCCAGGAAGCAAATGGAATTTCCCCAAGGTTATTAGGTTTTCAGGCTCTAGATGGGAGTCCAAAAAATGGACCGTCTGGTCTCTCTGTGGGTAAATACTGCTGCAGTGCCCAAGAACAGCCCAGATAAGAGGTGGCAATTAACATCCCAGAGCGGGAGTGGACAGGTTTGGACTTCCAACAACCACCCTGCTGGACCATCAGAGAACACATGCCCAATACCTGGCACCTTCCGATGTGATGACAGGACTCTCTCTCTCTCTCTCTCTCTCTCTCTCTCTCTCTCTCTCTCTCTCTCTCTCACACACACACACACACACACACACACTAATGCACATTCTGGTGTGGAGGACTGACTTCCTAAATGATGAGAAAAGAGGACATTATCCTAGGATAGCTTCAAACTGGTGTGTTAAATTTATCTTAGTGCTCATCAACTTAGCAAGAAACTCTAAGTCTTCAGAATTCCAATCCTTGTTCTTTTCTCCTCACAGAACTCCATATTTTGAAAGATTCTCTTATCAACCTGCATTAGTAATTCTTTTTCTAATACTTCCTTAGGTTAAGTGTCAAAGCAAGAACCTGATGAGCCTGAATAACCAAGGTACCCACGAGAATGTGTGTACTTAAATCAAAGGCAAATAAATTTCAATCTTGGTTACCTGTGCACGACATGGTAAGCACATGCAGATTTCTGCCAGGTTCTGGAAGGAGTTTGTGGCCCATCTTCAATGCTGAGGATCCAGGATGTCAGGCTGGGAGCTAGGATGGGGCCAGAACATCCACAGCCCTGTCCGCTCCAGGGAGCCAGGCTGACCCTCGCTGAGGAAGTGATTGCTTTTCTTTTAGCCCAAGTGGGAGGGCAGGAAGTGTATGGCTTGCAGCTGTGACTGCTAATGGACTGTGATATTTGTCCCCTAAACCAGTGGAGGAAGCAGGAAGGAAGAACAGAACATGGAACCACACTTTCACCAGCTTTATGAGAATACAGCCACTAAGGGGGAGTCCAGAGGGTTCTCGGACACAGGCAGCACAGATCTATTTCCTGCCAGGACCAAAACAGAACAGTAGGAGTAGAGAATGAGACGACTTCACCTCCTAGAATCTTCCCTTGGAGAGAAGAGCCTGAAGACGGAATGATCCCATGCTGGGAAGACAGACCAAGGCAAACAAGACCAGTTCACAGTGGAAGAAACAGAAAAGGGGCCAAGCTGCTCTGCTGCACTGGATGACTCTCGGGAGTTGATGGGCCCCAACATCTCTACAAACTCCGCTTACCCATAATCTTGTCCCTTAGAAAAGGAGCAAGCGACACATATCAGCCAGGATAAACCTGCTAAAGCATAATCCACTTCTAATCATGGCCTCCTGGGGGGAGATGAGATTTGGGAGCCAGTATCCAGACACCTGCAAGCAGAGGCACTGTGAAAGGAGGAAAGAGAGGCAGGTGTGAGAGAAGGGACTTGGGAACAACAGGAGTGTCCCTTCATCTAATATAAACGAAGAGGAAACTTTGAGAATACGGCTTATCCCAAGAGAACCAGAATGCAGAGTCACAGGCGATAAGGGACCAGGCACCATAACCCAAGTCACTAAAACCAACAAGTAACAAGCAAGTCCCACCAGTTTCCCTCCCACCCCTCTCCCTGGCTCCAAGGATTGGGATTCATCAGGACTTCTCCAATTTCAATTTCTCCATCATGGAGCCAGAGGCTGCAGCCAATGGAGGAAGAGAAACCAGCAGAAATCCGTTCTGGAAAACCCCATATGGCACACCAAGGCAGTCTGCTCTCGCTGGGGGACCTAGGCTGCTGCCCCTCCTCCACACTGTGCGGGGACTCTGAAAACCACACCCTTTTTGCCACCTGGTTCCCTTTAGGTTCTACCCACGGGGGTGCAAAAGGGAGGACAAAATGCCTAAGGGGGAAGGGCTGCTCTTCCCAGCTGAGCCTGCTCTTCTGTCAGCACCCCCCAGCCCACGG